TTACATATTGACGTCATTAGTGTGGGTTTAAAGGGATCTCTTTAAGACTTTCTGGAGTAAGTAAGTAATCTCAGTTGTAGAATAAATTTTATGTTCTTTGATCTATTAGTTGCCTTATAGAGTAATAGGACATTTGCATGAATACCTGTCATCAGTGGCTTTTGTTTTATTTAAATAGGTTTTAATTTGCTGGTTGGGAAAAAAACTGTTATGGTATATTGTAATTTTAATGACTAAGTTTAACATGTGTAGCTTGGGTGTTTAGTTTGTGAGAACGACTTCATGTGCTTTAAGTAGTCATTAATTATGTGTACCATATTCAAAGATTTTCTTTTAAAAAATTGAAATGTTATAAATAGGTTAATCAGAGTGGGCCCTGTTGAGTTTGGGACAGTATGTCTAATGGATCTCGTTTTTAATGAGAATAAACTTTATTTTCTCAAGTATTCTTTGTAACTTGTTAAGGTATTATGTTTAGCATTGGTTTGTTCAGTTAAATTATTTCTTCTCCCTAAAAGATGGATTTTTTTATTGAGTTTTTTTTATTCACAATATTGTGCAACCTCTACCTATAGGATGGATGTATTTTCAATTTATTTCACTTGGATATCAGAGCCTCCATTGTGCTGAGAACCGAATCCTCCCTCAGTAAGCACTAATTCCAGTTTCTCTTTCCCCCAGATATTTACAGAAAGCCTTCTGTGTTCCAGTCGCCTTGAAAATATCCACCTGGCTGGGCAGATGATGCACGGCAGTGCTTGTTCAATAAACCCACCAGCTAGCGGAGCCCAAAAAGGAAAAACCCAGTATAGGGTCAGTTATGAAAAAAGTATCGACTTGGTTTTGGCTGCCAGCAGAGAGTACTTCAATTCTTCTACCAACCTCACAGACAGCTGCATGGATCTGGCCAGGTAGAGCAAGTCTGTATTCTTCCATGAGAGGGAGAGGGGAGTCAGAACACACAGCCTTCATGGTTGGTTTTATTCTCTACTTTACAAAATATGTTATC